TTAAATATTGTCAAAAAAATGTAAATAACTCTCAAGGAAGTCGGAAATGTGGATTTGAAAAAAAAATTTTTTTTTAGTTATTATGGAATAATTTGAAAAGTATTGCTTTGAGAGAAAAAAGTTTTAAGTAAAAAGGTAAATATTCTGCACTAGGAATCAGTAGTTGAATAGTTTCACAGGCAACTATAAAAAAAGGCAACAATAACGAAAAATTGAGAAAAAGTATACTTACATTGTTAATTGAATATTTTACAGTTTTTTATATGCTTGTCAATGTTCACCAAGTCAGACCGCAAAATTTCAATCTGGCGGTTCATTGAAAAATTGTGAAGTTTAAATATCGATTGTATATACAATTGGTAATGCGATATGAATCGAGATCTGTTTTACTGAAATTAGTAAGCACTAGAAATGTTATGAATGCCTTTAAAATTATGATTTTTCAATAAATTAACAAAAAAAAATTTTTTTAATTTTTTACTAAGGTTCTAATTTCGTAAATGTTGAATAGAGTGTTAACTGTGGCAGGTTTTCTTTTATTTACTTTACAAAAAATATTACTTGTAGGGCCGAAAAGAGACCACGTATTATGTATCTATTTTTTGAACTGTAGCGGCCTCCCTTATAATTATTGTTTTGTCTTTAGAACTGGCCTCATTTTTTCTTTAATGCTGACTTTGTAAATTAGGGAAAATTTTTACAGATCAATTGTATGAATTCTTTAACTGTCATAAGAAAAAAAAAAAAACCAACATTCATGTTTAAACTAACACCTTTAGCATCCACTCCAGGCCGATAGCCGTTGTTGTCGCCCGATATTTACTCAAGTAATTAAATACTCGTTCCAAAACCACCTGCAAAATAACGTTTTCATCCATTCACATTTCGAATTTTTTCTCAGCTATACGGTTATGCTATTCATATTACTGTATCTTGAGAACAATTCTTCCACATTCTTCGCAATGTAACAGCGCCATGTCTTTCGTTGAATATCAATTGACAGCCACTAACGTAATATTGTATAGAATACCACATTATCATAAAATCGAAGTAGTATCAATATACTTTTTCGGAAACGATTTTAAAGCAAATATTTTGGAAAATACTGCGTAACTGTGATTTATGATAACGATACAAAAATGTTAATAGCACCAGCACGTAGTTGAGAAAAAATTTTATAAGAGTAGATTAAAACGCAAATTCATGGATGGTTTTGTTGGCGAGTAATTAATTACACAAGACATACAAGAAAATATCAGGCGACAGCATCGACAAACTCGTCAGTTGAAATAGAATATCAAGAGAAGGGCATGTATGAAGGATGTAGAGTGCTTGTATTAAAAGTGCTGCCATCTATGCATTTACACTTCTTGATACAATAATTAACACGTATCAACATTCGCTTGTATGCTATTAGTCGTTTTAATTTCTTATTTACAGACAAGCATTAGAGTCACATAATTACTACATCAAGCTTAGGGAAAAGACAGCTCTAAAAATGAAAAATGATGAACTCATCTATACTTACGGTGCGAGTGAATGTACAGCTCCTTGGAAGCTCAAGCGGTAAAGCAACTGTCTAGTAAACAGGAGGTTGTGTGCTTGATCCGCACCTGGGGGGGATATTTTTCTCATTCTCATTAATTACTTAAAAAATTGACGAGTCGACATAGTAATTAAGGAGGCTGTTACGGCCAAAAAAAGTACAATGTATCGCAACTTGGCTTCGACGCAGACAAAAAAATTTACATTAATTGTGAGCGTAAAAGCAACAGTAAGTTTTCCCCTGATAAACACAAACAATGCCATCAACAGTCCATCGTTTGTCAATAGTGAAGATTATTACCTTATTCACTGATTACTATAGCTTTACGGTAAAAAGTATTGCTAACTGAGATTGATTTTTATAAAAAAATTACCCTGGAGCTATTGAAAGAACTATAGTCAAGATTCGTTTGTCACAACTGTACCGTTGATTTTACCGTTAAAATTGAATGCACTTTGTTGCCAAGCTTTATGTTCCAAAGTGATGACATTACAGTTCTTAGTAATAGGATTTTTTTTTAACTTTGTTGTTTATTTATATAAAAATCTTAATTTATAAAGTATTGCTGACATTTTTTGGATACATATACCGATTGCAGCAAAGTAGATCTCGATTTATATTGTGTCCATACTGTATTAAGTGTATAGATTTATATCGTACTAAGCATACAGAAATCGAAAATTTCAATTAACAATTTTGCGAGGTAGCGGTGTTGGCTCAATGGTAAGCGTGCTTGATACTGATACAACACCGTTCTAGGGGTCATGGGTTCGATTCCCGGTGAATGTAAATTTTTCCAAAAACTTTTTTCATCGGTAAAAGTTCCTATGAAGCCCTATCTGTTTCGGGGCGGGTTTTGCCGTGGAATTCAGAGCGATTTCAGGATTTTTTCCTTACCCCACAGGTCTTAGGGCCTAAGTGAATGCAAAACCGTGTTAAGGCTATAGGCAGAGATTAGTGGATCCAATTCCAGGCGCTGGGACAGGGAGCGCCGGCCTTACTGGTGAGGAGTGATTCCTGAAACATGGGGCTTATCTATAGGGATGCTAATTAGCCCGGATCCGATGCTTCAGCAGAGAGCGCCGGCTTAACCGGCGAGGATTGGACGTCCTAAAATATTAAGGCTTCTCTGGGAAAAGGCTACACAGTGACTAGTAGAGCCGATGCACCATTGGTGTGACGAGAGTGCCAGCCTACCTGGCAGGGTAATTCATCGGAGAAACTTCCGTTGTGGCCATGGTTATAATAAGGTATAACAATAGTTCGAAGATTGGTCAAATGGGTGCGGTAATACACTTCCACATATAGGTGGTGAGTGGGTAGCCCCGGTGACTAGGCCAAAAGGGTAACGCAGTAACCGGGTAAAAAAAAAAAAAAATTTTTAACAATTTTGTAATAAGCCGTCATATAAAAATTTTGTTGTCAGACTGGGCGCAAATGTTTAAATATATAAAAACTGCAGCATACGCGATTTTCATTACATTTAAATCACTACAAGTACTATTTTTAATATTTTACTACATTTGCCTATTGTCTTATTTTTCTTGTTTAAACGATCAAATTTTCCTTTAAAATTTTTAGTAAAATTAAATTTTTGTAAAAAAAAATACCCACCAAATCTTACTGCAACACTTCTCGAGGTACTGAATAAGATCCGAAAATTCTTTCTTCACCTAACTGCTTCTCATATTTTTTTTTGATCTTTTGATCTGAAATTTCGTAAACATATTCCTGAAAAGTAACTGCATGATAGTACAATGAAAGATTCTGGATTTTTAAAGATTATTATCACATATGTATCGATGAAACATAGAATTTAAAGGTTATCATTTTTTTTTGAAAAACCAACAAGACTCATCAACAATGGACAAAAATTATAAGAAACTAGAGAGTCTCGGTAATAATACTAAACTTTTGGTCGAACCTTCATCCTATAAAATTGTACAGTAAGACGCACTTACATGCACAGGTAATTGTCTTGTTACACGTTAAGGTATCAGCAATAATTATTATCAATTAAAATAAAAGGAATATGAAAATCTGCATCGGGCTATTCGGAGAAATGCAAAAAACCCGCAAATTCCTAGCCCATGCAGAATTTTGCAGTCGGCTTGGTTGTCGTTGTAGAGGTAAGTGGACTGCTCACTTCCTGTGAAGCTGGCAGTGTCTTAGTTGTTATTGTTTTAATTAACAACAGCAAAATTAGGATTTGAACTGCAAATTAAATGCAAAAAAACTGCGAATTCCTGTGCCAATCAGACAGCTGTTATTAAAAAGTGGCGTGTCAACTTCACAGATGTGTAGAGAGGGACTTCTGCATATTGTTGTCTAACAGGCAAATCCTACATTAAAAGATTAATTGTTCTGTGACTCAAGCTTTTTTTATTTGCTGTGTAATTGGTTAGAGAAGGTCAAAAGTATTGGTAAGAAGGATTTTTTAAAGATCAATTGCATTAATTAGCGAAAAATTGCAGAAAAATTAAAATGAAAAAGTTTTATTGCATAGATATAATCAACAGTAAAAATTTAACTGTACTTGAATTTCTAAGTTACTGAAAAATATTATTTATGCAGAAAACTTTATTAAATTTAAATTAAGACGTCATAAGAGTCTACATAACTTTTAAATGTTCCTTACGGTTATTACACTACGCCACATGAATTTTTATCAGAGAAAATATTTTTAACATTAATAATCAATAGTGCATATAATGATAAAGTATTTAAACTATAAGTTACCTTTGAAAAAAAAATTTTTGCGTTATTAGTGGCAACATAAATGTTGCAAGGGTAAGATTAAGAGTGTTTACCTACACTTTTAAAAATACCAAAATTTAAGTTAATATTTGTCCTACTTTTACAGTGGGATGTGCTCATTGAACAATAAGACTGAATGTAAAAGTAGTTACAATAAGTCAGATTGCGGGAAGCGCGTTAAACACAACTTATGATCTTAAACATTAAATAAGTAGTTGTTGTGCGCCCTGTATATTATTTCTCTTGAAAAAGCTTCATTTAAAGTCTTGATACGTTCCGACAAAATGCAAACCCATGATTCTTCAAGTTTTTACGATATTGATGGTATGAGGCTACCGCAAGCGAGCCACTAAGCCGTTAAGACTCTCAGATTTATAATACTTTTATTATAACAGCCTTTACTGAATCTTATAAAATTGCTTCAGTTTAAAACAAATTTTTTCATCAAAAATTTTATGTATTTTATCAAACCACATTACACTAATGAGTATACTAAGACAATTGTTATAGTTTTTATAATTTAGTTATTGACCAAAGTAATTGATTACGATTAAAAAAAAAAAAAAGAAAATTTTTATAACTATTAATGTGAAAGGAAATCTTATTACTAATAAAAAAGAAAAATTATGTGAGAGTTAAACTTGATTTGACTCGAAAAAAGTTTTAATATCATTTTTTAATGCATAATAAGACTTACTAAAGTCATTATCTTGGTGCAGTTCATCAGTGTGATCTGTTAAGAAATCATCTTCTTCTTCATCGGTCTTGAGTAAGGAATTATTTGATTGCACGGCATCAGAACATTTTGTAAGTATTTTCGAATTTGTGGGGTAACATTGTACACTAAACGACAGCATTCCAGCAATAGCTTCCCTTGTTGATGGTGACGTGCTAGAAACAACGTTCTTCTATTGAAATTATATTATAAAAACTATAAAAAGTTACTTTATAATTATAATTTGTTATAAAATTTATAGTATTCTTACTCAAGAGTTTATTTTGTTTCTTACTTTAATAGTATGGAGTTATAAGTATAATTCTAAGAATTTCTAGATGATGATTACCAAGTATTTTTACCTTTTAATAATGATTATATTTTTTTCAGTACATTTTACAAGACATCTACTATTTTATAGGTCTGCATTAAATCGATTTCATTAAGAAATAGCAGGGTTCTGTCAAACACTAAAAATAATTGTGATTTTAACTTCATTTTTAATTCACAACTAATCACGGTATCATAACACTATTTTGAACAAAAATTATTTACTATTCTTATAACTGTAACATCTATATAGCCTTTGTAAGATTAATTACACTATTTAAAGTAAACGTGTTTGAAAATATTTAATACCAAAACTTCATGAAATATAGTTCCTCACAACATAAAATAGCAAAACTACGTTAATTTTACCTAAATATGATAAATTTGTTAATGATAAATCGCCAAAAAGTAAGTATTATAAAAAAGTCTTACAGTAAACATTACTTCATAACACAGGCTTTTGTTATATTGTTAAATTTTCACAATTATAAATTACGCAATGAATTAGAATTCTGATACTTGTAACTTGCAAGAATAAAAGTGCAGTCATGTAAATAAGGCATGTAGAGCAGTCAAATATTTTACTATGCATGAAAATTAAATTTATTGGCATAGTATACACAGTAATCTTATGATAACTTACAAAAACAAAATTCAACATGTGTTTCTACAAGTTATACGGATGAACAGTGTACACAAATGCAGATTAATACAGCATATATATGTTCGTTTGCTCGATATTATTACAAAAGACAAGCCTATTTCTATGAGTTTCTGTATTTGGGAGTTCTATGAGTACTCTCTATTATCGAAAATTTTTCTAGACATTTTTGGAATGTCGAAACGTATAATTAGTTGGAAATGCATCGTTTTGTTATTTTAGGCTTTAAAAAAAAACGAAAAAAATGAGCCTGCTTCTAATGCAAGTCTTTTGTATCATTGTAATATTACCAATGTAAAACTTTCCTTAAACTCACACTACTATCCTTAAGGAAATCTTAAACTTGATATAAATAAAAATCAGTTTTCAATATAATACGATATGTATAAGAATTTTTAAGTAGCCTCTACGTAAAACAACTTGAACCTATGTTGAATAAAATAGATTTTATTACACGCATTCCTCTTATTGTGATTGACTGTTTTAAGCAAAATGAAGCTTTTAAAAGTGCGCCAGTGGACGTACGCTTGGAGTTTGAAGCACGAGAGAATTTCCGGGAAAATGTATCTGCTTACTGTCTTATTCTACAAGATCGTATCGTAGAGTACAATGATATGAGGGGTTATGTAAGAAAACTTGTTTAATCACGTCTATGAAATTGAAAAATATTTGCACTCTTTAACATGATGGAGTACGGGGTCGATATGCAGGGCTTCAAAAAACCTGGCAATGATTATGTGCCAAGGAGCCATTTCCTTGGCAAAGATAAAATGGTAAATACAAACGCGAGAATTTGTGGCTAGAGCTGGTCTATCTTGGATTAGATTGTAAATCAGGTGATATTGACTACACGAAAAATGGTTATGTGCTTCGTGAAAATCTCAAAGATGCAAAAAAAATTTTTATTATTAGAGAATTGAAGAAAAAAATGGCTTGAAAGTTATAATTTACAATTACTATGACTGATTGATATGACTGATTACTCACCATTTGAGCTCCCAACATTGGCTACTGCATGTGTCCACCATATTGGTGCAAATAGATCTATGTGTGCTGTCGACACTGTAAATCGAATGAAAAAATTCTACTTTCGTATGGAGTGGGTAGATGTCACTGACTCTGAAGAAGACGTGCAGTAATAAAACTATTGTAGGAATTTGCTTTCTCATAAATAAATAAAAAATTATGTGAGGCTTCAATTAAAGTGTAGCCATTGAGCAGTCAACATCAAAATGGGTTCATACTTGAATAACCCAAAACGTCGGAGGAAAGCAGCAAAAATTATCATACCAAAGACGATGAATATAGCTGGAAACCTCTTTTAGAGAAGCACATTAAGGCATCTTAGCCAAAAGTCACAAGCAATTATTATTTTGAACATCTTTGCTCATGTCTTAAAAAAGAAGGATATAATAATTTTTAAAAACAATCGGCCCTTACAAGAGCCATAAATTTATTCTTTATGTTTGTTCAAAATTTAAATAAATATATTAAATAAAAAATTTTTAGTATTATTTAAGTAACCATTCCTCATGCAATTCTTACGATTGAGAACTACAAATTAATTATTACTATCAACAGAAAATTAATTTTGTAAATAAATTGTAAATGGCTATTTATAATGTCAACAACATCAACTTGTTGTTGCAAATGGTAAAACAATCAGAGATCACACTATCATTGAATCTTCACTACGCGTATAGAGGCACGAGAGGATGAGAGCGCAGCATATCCGGCACGAGAGTAGGCGGCCGATCTGGCACTAGTAGGTATGCCTGTGGCTCCATAGGGGGATACGAGGCCACCAGTGGTTTCATCGGAGGATACAAAGCCAGAGTGGCTCCGTATACGTAGGGAGATACAAGGCCAGAGTCAATACCCCGTATGCTCCTAGCTATACTACTCATGACAATGTTGAATCCAGATGATATTCCACATGACACAATTAGCAAGTTTTTCACTAAAAAAAAAATAATATTGAGTCAGCTCCTTCTATAATTAGGAAACTTAAAAATAATGCTCATAGATGAAATTTTTATGAAGATGCTGAAATATCTGACGTACTTAAGTAAGTTTTATATACACCCGCACACAAGTTATACGAGTTTCGACAATATTATTGCCTTTTTCTATGTGTAACTTACATTGAGTAAAAGACAATTTTATTCTTTTAACTATGGTTTTTACGATTACATTTTCATCGAGAACAAAAAAAAACCATGCATGAAATCTCTTAATAACCCTCACATTTTACACAATGTAATTGTACTGAAATCCAAAAATTGATAAAACTCTTGAAGCATTTGAGCCTAAATTAGAATTTTGTAATAGTGACAATAAAATACGATAAATTTAAATAATAATTTAAATATGTTTAGTAAAGTCTCAAAAATTACATTAATAAATATAACTTGTACAGAGAGAATGGAGAAGATGCACTGCTTCCACTAGATTAAAATGTACGAATAATTATGTCTGTCTTCCGTGCTCAGTTTGCAATTGGTTGTGGTTTAAAGAAGACCTAAGAATAGCTATAGATCATCTTAAAAAAATTTCGCCAATAATTGTTAAAGTTAATAGAATCACTTTATATCTTACGCATTATTCAATAACTTAATAATTGAATACTTATTTTCTGAAATTTCATTTCTATGGATATATGTATTCAGTCATCCTGGTAAGTGTGTGTGTATGTGAGTATATGTATGGTATGGGTGTGAGATGAGTCACTCGCGGGACTGCGGGAGCGGGAGCATCGGCTCCTCACATGAGCAAATAGACAGTAGTATCTAACGGAGCCTTCGACCAACACGTTGACTAAGGGGCCATCCACCCTTATGTATATATTCATGTAACTAAGTTAATAAACCTTTTGTGCTACCCGTATTTAATGCTGATCTCTCCGTTTATTGCTCACCCTCTGCTTCCAACAAATACATAACTCATACTAACAGGTTGTGGGCCCAGAGAGGTTGTGAGTAAAATTCTTTTGTTATGGCCAAGTTTTTTTTGATTACTTGCTCCTCGCTAATTATCTTGTGTGTGTGCGCGTCAAGGCCAGTGAAAATGGCAGACAAGATAAACGTCAGAAACATTCGGAAATTCGACGGCACGAACTTTCAAGTATGGAAATTCCAAGTGACGCAAGTCATGATTGTTTTGGGCGTCAAGGAATTGCTTATAAGCGAGGAGTCGCGACCGGGAGATGACAAGGTAGTAGATCAGCAGGCATGGGACAAGAAAAACGCAAAAGCCATGGTCGTGTTGTCAAACTCGATGTCGGATGCTCAATTGGAGGTTTTAATAACATGCGATACGGCAGCCGCCATGTGGAAAAAATTCTATTCTCGAGGAGCGCTCGGCAACAAACAAGCTTGTAATGCTACAAAACTTTCATCAGTTAAAAATGGAGCTGATGGATTCCGTAGTAACATATTTTACAAAGGTTCAAAACCTCGCTCGTCAGTTAAGCGACGTAGGTGAAAAAATGTCGGACACGGCCATGATGGCAAAAATTCTCGGAGGATTGCCCGAGAAATATGGTCCCCTTATAACCGCTTGGGACAGCGTTGAAGTGGTACGCCAAACACTCGACATTTTGCAAGAAAGGCTGATCAGGGAGGAAAGGCGACTTTCATCAACAGCCGAGGCGATAGGAGCTTTTTCATCTCTCGCTTCTATGGAAAAGAAAGACAACAACGACCAGAACCTTCGAGAAGGTAAACAAATGGAGTGTTTCTATTGCCATAAAAAGGGTCACTTTGCCAGGAATTGTCGCAAGAAGACGTGAGACATGGAAAGAAAACAAAACAAAGGAAGTCGACTGTCATCAGATCGCCAAGGGCGCCAGTGTTTTGGTAAGCAAAATTCAAATTCGTCGACATTCAGTGGTGCGCTCACCGCAACAGTGATTCTCAGCCAAGAGGAGGCTAACGCTACGTGTGCGAACGAGTCGACGGGCATGGATACAAAGGATGTCTGGCTTACCGACAGTGGAGCAACATGCCAAATTACCTACCGCAGAGAATGGTTTTACGAGTACCACCAGATCAACCAGGTAGAAGTTAGCATTGGTGATAATTCCAAGCACAAGGCGCTGGGTGTTGGAAAAATTCGTATCCAGCGACTCATTAGAGGCAAATGGCGTGATGGAAGGCTTGAAAATGTTCTTTACGTGCC